ATAATGGTGTAATGAAGAATATAAGGTTTGTACTTATATTTTATAATACCCGGTAATTATTGTTTTCTTTAACATAGAAATCAATAAAGAAGCAGAAAGTATACATAGTCCATCAGTCACCTCTACATAAAGGTATAACTTCTTCATGTTGGTATTGTATTATTGTATTCACTTTTTTTAGTCATAACTCATGAAGCAAAGGCTAATCGATGAAGCAATTCAAGACAGAAAACAATAGATAATTTATTTTATTTTTTGTGATTTTTAATATTAAATTTAAAATTATTATAATAGTAATAATATAATGAATATATAATGAGTTCAGTCATGAATCACTCCCGTATACGGAGTGATACAGGAAGATTTACAGAATGTAGCTATCCTGTAGCTACGGTGATGATACTGTAATTGCCAAAAGTTGGTGTATCTTAAAGATATACGGTATCTGATACATAACTGATATCTTAACTGATACAGAAAAAAATTCTTGGCTGTGTACCTACAGTACTGACTTACCTCCAAATAAAATGGCAGCCAAAGCTGAGGCCAAAGCACCAAGTCCATCAGTACTTGATTATGACTCGTGTGTTGTTACTATTAGTGTATCATTACCTCTTGTTATGTATAGACTATCAACCAGTGAAGAGGAGTGAACACTCCACTGTACGGGTACATGTGGCAATTATTCTCGACCTTGGCGCACTGCCAGGGACAGGCTCAAATTTAGAGGTATTTTTAAAATGCATTTATTGCATCATACACTCAATTTTAAATCATTTAACTTGCAGTATGTTGGATCAGAGAATTGTGTTATCAGGAGATGTGGTAATGCTGGAGCTTCTAGATACTGCCTACATAGTCTCGCCCCGCTCCTGGGGGCGGGGCAAGACTACTGCCTACTACTTTGAGGGTAAGGAAAGAGAGAGGGGGGGAGGGAGGGATTTAATATCTATCGAGCAAAACTTTCATGAATCGGTTATTGCTGTTGTTGCTGCTCATTGTTTTGCTTCTCTCCTTTCATAGATGGCTAGTAAGAATATGAGAGCTGACAAGCCGAAAACAGTTTTAGGTCTAAACATGAAATGAGTATCACTTTATGACGAGAGATAAAAGGTACATGTACAAGCATGGCCTCAAATGTTTTAGTGTTGGGTGATATCGATATTTTATCAATACAAACGATACTTTGCGGTATTGATTTGTATCGGTATTGAAATTTTAAAGAAACTTGTATTGATACATGTATGTTGACCACACCCACTTATTGAGATTAAATAATTATTAATAAAGAAGATTTTGATAAGTTAATGAGGTAGTTACACACACGTGGATACAAACAAGTGCATGAAAAATCAATGAAAACAGTCAATAATAAGGTGTGTGACTCCATAGGTGTGGTCTAAATATCATATCAAAACTGTATCAATACTCTCGATATGCACTGATAATGATTGGTATCGGATCGAATCCATTTTGGCCAGTATTGTCCACCACTAAAATATTTATAGCTATTTATGCACCTTAATAACTATTAACTATTAATAACTACAATATAGTCTGTAACTCTGGTCCCAGTTGATAAAGTTACTTATGTAACTCATGATCCAGAGGATCAGTGCTACTTTGGAGTTATCATACAAACTAAGGAGTCTCACACTGGATTTAGACTCTACCTCTTCAAAGCTGAGAGACCTATAGTACATTATCATGTCATTATGATCATACATACAGTACATGAACAGTTTCTGCATGTAAAACTTGATACCTGATGTCTGCATGAACTGGATAGTAACTAGAAAACAATTTTGACTTTAATTTTACTATCCTATCATTTTTAGGCTGTTACATTTGTGTAACTATTATTCCTAACTCATTATCTATTCATGATACTAATGATTATTAATGTTTATTAATGAGTTGTAATTATTATTCTTAGTTCTTCTTGTGATAAGATTTTTGCTACAAAGTTGCTTAAGGACTCTGCCGCGTTTAAGCCTGGCGTTACAATTGGCGACCCTGCCAGGATAAGCGGCTGACATTGGATGTCAAGGAGAGAATTAAAGAACTTGATAGCAACTGGAACTCATAGCATAGACAGTACTTCGTTGAGTGTTCGACACTTGCGCCATCGAACTATAAACAT